ATGTGACCAAATGTCGCATCAGTGTAGTGTTTTCTGACTTCACTGTGATATGTTCTTAAATCCAGTAACCCTATTTGAATATGTTCAGAGAGGATTCTTCCAATCCTTCACAAGTGGCTGAATCATATTTGCTTTAATCGATAGAGTAACAATTTAGTATCAACCTTGAACAATTAATCTGTTCAGAAATACGATCAATGGTGAGCCTTTAATTTCTCTAGACATTAAACAGAAGAACCTCTGTCAGAAAACCTGGAGATCATTTTACCAGTTGTTGTAGATATATCACTGAGCTAGATGGATCTTTATAATCCAGGATCACAGCTGGACCCACTGCTCATCCCATGCTCTTAGTTTTTGTTCTGTAACACTCCCAGGAAGGTGAGGTTACTTTATTGTTTGACATCTGGGTCTTCTGAGACTGTGAACAACTGTAAGCTGTCTGCCTGACTCTCATTGGAATATTATTGCTGTCCATCACATGTTTGTCAGAGCTAGTTTGACTCTCCCTTATGTAGAAGAAAGCACCACAAAAGACAACCCTTTAGAATTAAAATTACATTCCTTTATTCAAAAATACAGTGACAAGTACTGATCTCTCCCATGAAATCATTCTAAATATTCCTATTATACGAAAAAGAAAGCAGTTTGAATACTCAACAAGTAATGTACAAGCACTGAGTATTACAACTTAGTGTTGTCACACCCTTTGTAATGAGATGTTCTCTGCTGCATTGTAATAGCATTATATATATATATATANCCTTTATTCAAAAATACAGTGACAAGTACTGATCTCTCCCATGAAATCATTCTAAATATTCCTATTATACGAAAAAGAAAGCAGTTTGAATACTCAACAAGTAATGTACAAGCACTGAGTATTACAACTTAGTGTTGTCACACCCTTTGTAATGAGATGTTCTCTGCTGCATTGTAATAGCATTATATATATATATATATATATAAATAAAACTGAACCAGGCTATAAGCAGAGGCAATTTTCTATAGAATTACAGCTGCTCACACTTACTGGAAAGTGACTCTCTTAAGAGATCAGTTCAGAGTATTCTCAAGTACCTAGAGTGCAATTTTGTTCCTTCTTTATTAAAAATGATACGGTTCTCTCGCAGATCCCTTGGGTAAAGTCTCAATATAGATTTAATTATTCCTCATTCTTATCAAGACCGCAGTGTGATATTAATAGCAATAGGCAAACTCCCCCTGGCCTGATTCAGAATAGACTCAAGTAAAATGATGTATTTCCAAAATTGCTGGATAAAATTGTAGAAAATAAAATCCTTTCACTTGATTTTATTCCAGATTTGATCCAATACTGGAAAGTTGCTACAGTTCATTAACCAGCCATAGGATATTGCTTGGCTACTACAATACACCTTTTGTCAGCCTCACTCACTTGAGGATTGTTGGTAGCAGAAAGTGGGGCTATTGGGTGGGTGGGTGAGTGAGTGTGTAGTACACCCCCCCCACACACACTCACATACACAAACACTGTAAGTTACCTAAAGTCCTGACAATAGGCAGCATACAATGGCAGGATGCATACTGTATACACTCAGATGCACACAGAAAACAAACATTTTCCAGGCTAAGACAATTTAAAGAGTGCCAGACAGGGAAAATCAAATGCATGTATTGACCCATTTCTCATTCAATCCGATGAAACAAAATTGGCTCTAGAAATTCTTTCAAAGGAGAATAGAGTGTGTGATGTTTGCACTTGCTTAGTCATAAAGCAGCCATAAGGTGAACATGTGGGAATGTTCTGTCTCTCACTATACAGCCATCTTTCTCCAAGCCTGTACAGTCTGGCTTGGCTTCTCACCTTTAATTAAATTCCAAGGAACAGCATCATAATAGGACTGCCTCAGTTGCATGTCATGCTCACATTAAACACACACACACACACATATAAAATTTCCCCAGTTATCAATGCTACTTGTCCACAAAAATCTCTTCTTTTAACCCCGTACAAGTTTCTTTCAGCTTTCAACAAAGGAATACCAGATCTGGTATCTAGGAATGATGGAAATTGTGGGCTCTCTGGAAGACAATTGCCTATTCACTTTTCATAATTGCAATGGAAACAACTTAGAAATTCTTCAGGACAGCAATAGTCCCAAACTCTCTTGGATAACCTTGCATTACAGAGGCATTTTCAGGATCCAATCTGGGTCAGTCACTAGGACCAGACATTTAGTCTTCCAAGCTTTTAGACATGGGATGGAACCCATCCTCAGGGAACTTCTCTCTCACCAGAATGTGTTTTGGGCTGTTCTATGCATAGCATTTATGTAGTTCCTGGTTGTGTATGGCTTTTTAGTTGTTGACTGGGGTGTTGATGGCCCGCTAGTAAAGCACTGGCTGTTGTTTCCTTGTGCTACCAAGTCCTCAGCCACTAAGTACCTGATAGGTTAGTGGTAAATCAGCACTCCTTTTGTACTTCAAGAAAGCTTTTACACTCAAATTCAGTTTAAGACCACAGCTGAGATTCATGATGATTTCTCCCCCTTTCCTTTCTGCCCTCATTTTCCTATTGTGCTTTGCTCCTTCCAAATCTCCAGGATGGGCTTGCTAGACTCTAACTCTACATTAAGTCATATATTAATGCACTCCTGTTGACTGACAAGGGACCCATTTCTCAGGCTTCAATCATTCCCCTGGCTATTTTTGTACCTGCTCAGCCAACAATCTTAGTGGTTGTGAAATTGAATATATGTCCTTTCAATGTCAGGCTACCAATGAGTTTGGGTCTCCTCATCTGATCACACACTTGTGTTCTTGTAATCTGGTGATTAGATTCTTCCCTGTCTGTCCTATATAATCATAGGGCAATCAAGGTAGATGATCTGGTAGATTATTTTAGAAGTATCTCCCATCTCTAAGCGATCTTTGCAATGCATGATTTGAGGTGTTTTCAACTGCTTCTGTGAACATTGCAGATTTTAGAATCTACCTATGTGATGTAGCCTATAGAAATAGATTCAAAATCAGAAAAAGGAAAAAAAAAGTGATGCTGTTTATAAAATAAATAACATGTTTAATTCAAGAATACCATATGTTCATGAATTGGTCTGCACAAAAATGGCATCCATCCCGGGCCTGGAATTGAGTAAGCAGCCAAAGAAGAGAGACAGGCACTTACCTCAACTATAAAACAATATATATTTGCCAGGAGCAGGAGGAACATGCAAAAGACATAAACATGTGTTGTGGACTGAAATTCAAATTTCTACACCAAAGCCATAGAAGTCAGTGGGCAGAAGCCGCCAGTGGAATAGGGACAGAAAAGACAGTATGAGGTTCTCAAATTGCACAACTTGAGTAAAACCTAGATTTGTCTTCCTATAGTATGGTAGGCTGTTAAAAATGCAGAGCAAGAATTAAGAAATGGCTAATTGAACAAGAAACAGATTAATGACGCAGACACAGTCGCTGTGTTATACTGGCAGAGAAATCTGTTTTCTGTTTGGGCATCCATCAACTGTAAATCTTGTTTCAAATTTTGAGATACTTTTTTCAGAGCAACTTAAAGTCCATAAGGTCATGCAGACATCTGAAGTGAATCAATCATGAAACTAGAGGATTTAGATTTGATTCTGATTACTTTGAATATTGTTTTACCTCAAAGGGCCTCAGAATCTTTCCAGAAGGACTCTAATGGACTCAGGGTTTTTAGTCAAATTGGATATACATCTTTACTTTAAATTTAGGTGAAAGCTGGTCTCGTGTATATCTCAGAAGAGTCAGAAATGATTTATTTCAGAGAAAGGTTTATGGGGGAGTAGCCTCTGTTTTGACAAAAACAAAACAAAAAATAACACCCAGCCCTTCATAATAATGCCATTTCCTAGATGCAAGGATGAGGATCCTTGGGGGCCTATAAAAATTGGTAGCAGAACCACTGTAAAGCTTACTGAGCTTTGTACAATAATGATGTTCTTTGGGATTTCAAATCAATATCAAGTCTCCTGAATGACTAGATTGTTTTTTGATGTATTATATTTAGGAATGTTGAATTAATTATCCCCTGACTTCTAGAGTTATTTTTTCCCTTTCTCTCCCTATGCAATCCCTCCTGCTGCCCTGTGCTTATGCCTTGCCAAGAAGTTGCAACTTCTCTACCCAACATGGATACACAAACACACTTTAGCAATAAGAAGAGACTGGACAGCCATTTGTCTGAAATGGTATAGGGTTTCCTGTCTGAGAAGGGGGTTGGTCTAGATGACCTCCAAGGTCCCTTCCAACTTTACTACTATTATTATTATTATTATTATTATTATTATTATTATTATTATTATTATTATTATTATTATTATTATTATTATTATTATTATTATGCCAAAAAGAATCAAGTAGCCATAGATGAACACACAATCCAAATGTGCGGCTATGTTAAGCTCCTTTCCCTGATGAAATTTCAACAATTTTGCAAGCCTGCTGCCCATTTTCAACCAGCAGTACAATAATTACTAGAGCTTTAGCTAAAAGGCAACGCTGAGATCCAGGCTGATACCTATCAGAAGTTACACAACTTAACAGAAACCAATTATCTGGATTACTCTTCCTCAGGATCATAAGAGATCTGCAAAAGATGCGATGTAATTATTATACCGGACTTGTTCAATGCTCTTTTCTAACTCTCCGGTGTTAAGCAGGCCAATCTCCAAGTGATTTTAATGATAAAGGAGAGAAAATCTTGCAACGTCTGCAAATCACAATCAATTGCAAACTGGAGGAGGTACTTTTAATCTTCTTGGTAAGAACTAAAGCCATTTCCCACCCTCTAACAATCTGGTAGCGAAGCATGTGGCCTAGATGAACAGAACAGCTGACTCAAGAATTAGCACAGATATTTAAGTCTGAGAAGCGGAGGGGCACCAAAGAGCACAGGTCATAATATTGTTGATTATTGAATGAACTAGTCACGTAGGACAGTTTATACATCCTTCTCCTTCTGCTTGTTCTTCTTTCAGCCCAACAGGACCAAATGCTCATTCACAGCAACCAGGCAGAGAGCAACACAGCTACTACCGGACAAATACTGGGAAACCAACAGCAGCAGCAGGAGCCCAACGACCAAGGTCAGGAGTTATTATTATTATTATTTATTGAATTTATATACCGCCCTATCTCCCTTACGGGACTCAGGGCGGTGAACAGGTGATAATAAAAACCACGATAAATATACACAAGTTTCTGTTCTAAAATCAAATTAAACAACAGGCCTGCTCTAAAAGTACCCCATACAAAACCCCCACTAAAACATAATCAAACTACACCAGGCCGGCCGCACGGAATAGATGGGCCTTCAGGGCTTGGCGAAAAAGGCGCAGGTCCGCAACTGTACGTAGGTCGGGGGGTAGGTCATTCCAGAGGGCAGGAGCTGCCACAGAGAAGGCTCTTGTAATTATTATAGTTCCCTGCACTATCATTGCCAATTTCATTTATTAAAACCCAGAACTAAAGGAGATCCCCTCACACCCCAAAGTGCGGCTGAATCATCAGAGTCTTTTGCTTCTTTGTACTCAGAAAGGTGAGGGGGCAGAAGAGAATATTTATAAGAGAACAGGCTTACAGGAGAGCTACTGAATTGAATGAGCACAAAAATCATTTTCAGGGATAATCTGGTGATGACCTCATAAGAAACAACTAAAGCAAAGTTGTTTCTTATGAATGGCATGAATTCAATGGTTATAGAAGTCGGATATTGTTAGCTGCTGCTATGTTCTGTGATCCAGAGATAACTATAGATAGACCATCAGACCTTTGCTTATTTTATAAGCCAAGACACCAGCTGCAACCCCTTCACACTCTTCTTGCAAAAACAGATGAATGGGAAATGTTTTCTGCCTAACCGTAAACCTTTTGTTCTAGAAATTCTTTATTTCAAAGCGTACCACCCTGATGCCTATGGATTCAAGCGTACCTGCAGACTTTTTCCTTATACCTGATTTTCTGGGGGGGGGGTTTCTAACTAAACTAAAAATTTTTGGTTTATCCATTGACCGTACAACGTTTCGTTCAATGGGTGGAGACCGTAGAAGTAATTAAAAAGTCGAGGGGATGTCTTCCACAATAATATGTCATTGTCATCAGTAACCTACGGTAGTAATTAAGGAACTCTAATTTACGTTATTTCCTTCCGTTACTCGGGACGAGGGTGGATTAGGGGATGTTTCAAGATTAAAAAAATGTATTTCAGGGTCCATATTCTAAACGGTGTTAGGAGGCCAACAAGTAATGACTGATGTCAACAAAACAGACAGAGATCAATTTTGGGGGAGGGAAAGGGGAGCTTTGTTCTTGGAGGGGTTTTTTTTGGGAGGGGGTGAGATTGCTGGGAATATGAGAGTCAGTTTGGATTAGTGATTAAGTCACCAAGCTATAAAGTGGGAGATTGTGAGTTCTAGTCCCAATTTAGCCATCTCTCTCTCTCTCTCTCTCTCTCTCTCTCTCTCTCTCTCTCTCTCTCTCTCTCTCTCTCTCTCTCTCTCTCTCTCTCTCTCTCTCTAACTATCTTTCTCTCTTCTCTCTCTCTCTCTCTCCATATTTATATCTATATCTCTATTTCTATCTCTCTAACTATATCTCTAACTCTCTCTCTCTTCTCTCTCTCTCTCTCTATACATATTTATCTCTGTCTCTATCTCTCTAACTATATCTCTTCTCTCTATATATATACATATTTCTCTCTCTCTCTAACTATATCTCTAACTATGTCTCTCTTCTTTCTCTCTCTCTCTATACATATTTCTCTCTCTCTCTCTCTAATTATATATATCTCTCTCTCCTCTCTCTCTCTATACATATTTATCTCTCTCTATCTCTCTCTGTCTCTCTAACTATATATATATATATATATCTTCTCTCTCTCTCTATCTATACATATTTCTCTCTAACTATATCTCAACTATCTCTTTCTTTCTCTCTCTCTCTCTCTCTATACATATTTATCTCTCTCTCTCTCTCTCTCTCTCTCTCTCTCTCTCTCTCTCTCTCTCTCTCTCTCTCTCTCTCTCTCTCTCTATCTATCTATCTATCTATCTATTGGCAGCTTACAGATATTAAATAAAATATAGTATAAAACCTTAAGACAATAAGTAGAGATCATACATTTAAAATTCAATCAAAATAAAATTAAGCAGGATGGGGAGGGAGGGAGGGAACCGCTGCGTGACTTTGGATCGGTCCCTCTGTCAGCCCAACCCCCCTGACAGGGTTGCCGTTATGGGGAAAAGAGGGGGAGGAAGCTGTGCTGGACATGTTCACCGCCTTGAGTTATTCGTAAAAATGGGCAGGATACAAATAAGTAAGCCATAACTATATAAACAAAATGCCAAAAAATGGAACAGGAGTCTCTGGGAGGCAAACCGCTCCCATTTCCGTACTAAAATGTTTGGAAAAGGACAGAAATTGGCATGGGGGGGGGAGAGAGCTAATTTCAGGCTGTTCTACTTGCATTTGGGTGGGCATTTTAAGAAAGGGGATGGGTAAGGTTTGTATCCTTTAGATATGTTGGACAGGAAATGTTTATTGTCTTATTATTTTAATGTTTTACAATATATTTTGTTTAATGTCTGTAAACTGCTTAGAGTTGCCTTGGAGGAGATGAGAGGCATGCAAGTTTTATAAACAAATAAAATAAATAAATAAATAAAAAATTCTCAGAGAAAGTGAATTGGAGCATCCATTGCTAAAAGAGCAATATATTGCTAAAGTGTGATTTCATTTTTGTACTGCGAATTCCTATGAACACAATGGCTGTTAAATTCCTTCATAGGATCAGTCCTACAGAGCATAACGCATTTATTGAAATGATAAAAACAGACATCGACTAGGTAGACAAAGACTCCACTTACGTTCATTAAATTTCTGTTAACTGTTCAATAGACTCTCCTGGAATTATAACTACCCTATAATGAATATGGATCATTCAGCAATTATTGGTGACTGTTGCTGGTGGAAATGTCACCCGAGGTGCATGACAAAAATAAAAATGGAATACTCATTTGAATGACTGAAGAAACTTTGCACCCTCTTTCTGACCACAGGCTGTGGGTTTTATTTTGGTGAAGGAGTAAGTTTTCCTTGCAGTAAACATCTTCTGCTTTTATTGCATTTTTTTTGGTCTCTGCCCCCTTTCCCCCCCCTCCCCCAATCCAGCAGTTGCACAAAAAATGAATGAACAGATTAGCAGCCAGGAGATGAAACTGACTTTGCTACAGAAGAAGGTTGACAACATTTCAGTCGTCATGAGAGATGTGAGCCGGACGCTTTCCTCTCTGGAAGGCAAAATCAATGAAGATAAGAGCACAGATTTGGTGGCGTTTCTAAAAGGTAAAAGAAAGAAATTAATTCAATCACTCACCCACTTAAAAGTGCCAAGAAAAGAGCAAGAGAAGGGGGTGGGTGAGGGAGGAGGAAGACCCTACTGTTGCAATATTCCATATTCTGCAAAGAACCATATATTATTTAGTTCTTTCTTTCTTTCTCTTCCTTCCTTCCTCCCTTCCTTTTCCTTCCTTCCTTCCTTTCTCCCTCCCTCCCTCCCTCCTTTCTTTCTTTCTTTCTTTCTTTCCTTCCTCCCTCCTTCCTTCCCTCCCTCTTTCTTTCTTTCTTTCTTTCTTTCCTTCCTTCCTTCCTTTCTTTCTTCCTTCCTTCCTTCCTTCCTTCCTCTACCTTCCTCCCTCCCTCCCTCCCTCTTCCTTCCTTCCTTTCCTTTTCTTTCCTCCCTCCCTCCCTCACTCCCTCTTTCTTTCTTTCTTTCTTTCTTTCCTTCCTTCCTTTCTTCTTTCCTCTACCTTCCTTCCTTCCTTCCTCCCTCCCTCCCTCTCTCCCTCCCTCTTTCTTTCTTTCTTTCTTTCTTTCTTTCTTTCTTTCTTTCTTNCTCTCTCTCTCTCTCTCTCTCTCTCTCTCTCTCTCTCTCTCTCTCTCTCTCTCTCTCTTTCTTTCTTTCTTTCTTTCTTTATGATTGTGAACAATGCTCATAGTGTGCAACTGCATTCTACCCATGCCAACTACATGCAGGTTTTTATTGTGATTTAAAATGCCTGAAATACTGATTTGGCCAGAGATTATACTGGTGCAAAAGAAATGAATATGAACAGGATACACAATGAAGATACTTCTGATTTTCAGGATTATATGCATATTTTTCAAGCTAGCAGCCCATTTTCCTGCTGGGCTGGTTTGAAAAGCTCTTCTTTCAATATGAACAATCCAGCTGATGAGTCGGTACATTGCATGAATGTAAGAGTAAGGAACGATGCTGTTGCAAGCTGACTTCATGTGATGCATGTAATATAATGGATGCTTGTTCTAACCGTTCAATAATATGGTTCTTGTTGTTCGCAGTGTTATCGCTATTGGCGATAACCAATAAACAAAATTTCTGGAGTCCTTGATATAAACCAATTAAAACGCTTAACATAATGTAAACATAGAATCTAAATTTAAAATTTCTGGTTGATATCATGATACAAATTGGAGGAGCTTTGGATCGTTTGGTTACTTAACCCTTCTGCATGCCTCCTTTACAATCTTCCAAAATTGAAATGTGCCAGCTTAGAAAGCACTGGCAAAGCAAAGATTGCCTATAATAGTATAATGAAGGAATCAATGCTGGATTGTCTTCTTCATGATTGAGATCTAAAGCTCTAGGTTGCTTTAGGATCATAAGGTCATAGAATCGTAGCCTAAATGCATTAAACAATTTTCAGTGTAACCATCTGGGATTTTTGTAAAGGCTATAAATATAACAACATTTAATGCTAAATAAACATTGTGAAGGAGAAAATTCTATTTTGAGGATGCCATCAGAGAGAAGAACCTCCTTCTAATAGCCACTTAATGCCCCTCATTTGCATTGGGACGTCTTGAAATTGTATTTTTAAAGTCTTGGAAATATAACTTGAGAAGGCAAGTCCCAAGCAGGGATCTTCAAAAGTTAATACAAGTGCCAGAAGAAGATTTAGTCAGGTAAAAAAGAATTAGGCACAACCAATCCAGAACATGATTAGTATCCTTTTTTGTTCATCATTTGTTAAATTTGCCCCTAAGTCTCCATTTTTGCCTGAAATCATTGCCATTTCACTAGCAGCAAAGTTGGAATAAATGACATACCTTTGAGCCTATAAAAGCTATTAGAAGACATAGTCCCACTTCTGGCTTGCCTCTAGAATTGTTAAGCTCCAGATATTGCACTTAAACAATGTTGCTTTAGCCACACTGATATTTACACCTTCTCTCTTATTCATCCTGTCCTCTCTTTGCCCTCGGTGTATTTTATTGTTATGTGGCACTCTTGACCCTTAGGTATACATTCTATATCACTGTGAATATTTCCCATTTTCTTTCTGCTTGCTTTTTATCCATTTCTCTAGTCCCTTTGGGTTAATATGTGCACATTCAGTTATAATGTGCCATTATAGAAGTCATGTGCAGTATTTCTTCACGTCCTTTCCACATTTTTTTCGTGCACATTAACCCACAATAAAGTTGCAATCTTCACAAGGATCATGCAAAATTCAGTATGGTTGGTCCTCAATAGAAACCCTCCAAGACCCTCATATTGACACACAATGCCTCCATTTCACAATATAGGATCTTGTGATGCCCCAATTCTATTCTATTCAAATCCTTATTATGACAAAACTTATCTTTCTTTTTATTCCAAGTGTTATATCTAGAATGTACAGCATGTCAAACTGCACTCTAATATACAATTACACATAACACACTCTCCCTGTGAAATTTCTTTTATTCTCCTGATGTTGTCCTTTCTACCGGAAATGTACAGAACAGTGAAACAGAATATTCAGCATTCCAACATAGTTACTGATTCTTACTGAAATATATTAGTGTTACATTTAGCACAGAAAGACATTGCTTTCATTTATCCAATTTTTTTTACCTTTATTGCAATCCATTTAAACAAAGTTCAAATTTGCAGGTTCTGGCCAAAGGTCACTGCACTAATACATTGTTGTTGCAAACAAAAACAGGAGTTACTATCCCCGAATTGTCAGAATTATGACAACTGTTACAGGAAGAATTTTGCTGTAAATTCTTGACCTCTAAATGTGGATGATATTGTGACAGAGATATGATTAATCATCCTCATAATACACATTCTTCTTTTTATTTTATTTATTAATCAAATTTAAGTAGTCACCCATCTCATAGAAAGAGACCCTTGGTGGTGTACAACAGTCTAGCAAAAACAGTTAAATTAGACAGTTATTAGTTGAAACCATTATATAATAATAATAATAATAATAATAATAATAATAATAATTTTAAAAAAAATTTGAAATGATAAAAACAGAGCTAAATCAGGAAAAGAGAATAATAGATGGAGTGATGTTAATAATAAGGGAGTCACCCCACAAGTTCACCAGTCCCCTTGAGTTCCCAACAATGGTGGGATTCAAATATGTGAACAACCAGTTCTCTGTGTGGATGCCGCTTCCGGAAGTCCCTTCTGGGCCTTGGCAACAAAAAATTAGCTACCGGTTCTGCTGAAGTGATGAGAACCGGCTGAATCCCACCAATGGTTCCCAGGCCTGCCAGCATAACCAGGTCAGAAGCTCAGGAATGATGAGGCCAACCTCATCTCCACTGGGAAAAGATTCCATAATACAGGGTGCCACAGCAGAAAACCTATCTTGATAACAGAACCCATAACGTACCCATTCTCTCTTGACCCCATACTTGAGCTGCTTCCTATAAGGATTCTGAGAGTAATTGTTGTTCTCCAGGATAAACAGATAACATTTCCTCAAAATTGCTCTACACTACAGCATAGCAGCATCTTCATCCACCCAAAAGAGACCAATTTCCCAACCTGACCACTCTCATATTCTTAATGTAAAGCTATTTTTAGGATCCTTCTTTCTCCGCCTTTTTCTTGTGACTCAGTGATGTTTTTGAAGTTTTCAGATGAGTCTTAGTCAGTTATTATGGGGTTGTTGCATAATCAATTGAGGAACAATCAAGAGAAAGAGACCCAGGAAACACAAATCAATAGGTGAGAAAGTTTTCATTAGCATTATTGATTACCTGGATGCTGAGAATTTGAATGGAATGATGACCATAAAACTGTGTTACACCTGAGTTCACAGATTAGTTGCTAACCATAAAGTACTTTCCAATGTATTTAAGTATAAAATCAGGGTGAGTTGTCCCTTTTCAACTTCACTAATCTTAATAGGAAAGACTTTAATACATTGTCAACCTTTCCCATCAAAACCAGTGAGACCTTAATGTTTACCTGAGAATATCTATGGAATCTTTTCAGTTTTCTTCATGCCTTGCTTTTAAAAAAAAATCCTGCTCACATCTTCATTCTAAGGTACGTGTGAGTGTGCATGCATGTGAGCATGCACACACACACACACACACACACACACACAGACAGACACAGAGGCATCAAAATCATACAACCTTTGAGGTCCACTAATTTGTCGATTCCAGTAGCTTCACAAATGTTGATGTCTTACTTTGCTTGTGACGGCAGATTCTGCCTTTGTGCTTTTTTGCCTTTCTGTTTTCTGACCATATTAGATTTATGTCTTCCAGGCTCCCAGTGGATCTGTCATGCCTTCTCCATTTGTTTTGTGCAACCTTCCATCCTATTTTCAAAGCTGACCTTTGCATAGCTTAACACGACCTCTGAATTGTCTTCATCCCTCTTCCCTCCTTGCTCTTTATCAAAAGTCAACTAGAGAATTAACTGGGAGAGAAGGAAAAATAGCTTCAGCAAACCCTAGTAGGGGCAGAGGACTGAAGTTCAGCTATAACATGCCTCCATTAAACTCAATGAGGAGACATAGCTGGGAAGAAAGGACAATGAGATCCCAGGAAATAAAAGACATAGGATCTCAATCTCTGTCCTTCTGTGGCCTTGGGGGGAGGGGTCACAGAGAACCACATAATCGTGAGTCTGGCTAGTCCCTTAAGATCTCCCCTGCCTTTAATCCAACATTAAATGGCTAGGATTTTTTTTCCCCTCTCCCCTTTTGACATTCAATTGTCATCATCCTATAACTTTAAAAATCTTAATCCTAGTTTAATGTTAATTTTTTCAAATTGTTTTACCGTATTTATAGGTTACATTACATTGTACACCACCCAGAGACTCTTTGAGAGAGGTGGGTGGTTTAGAAATATGAAATAAAAACAAACAAACAGATAAATAAATAAATTTTAATGTCTTGCTTGTAACTAACCAACAAAAAAAATTATTAAGACTGCAATTGGTATCTTATTTGGTTATGTCCTGGAGAAAAGCTATCTGTGGGGTCATTAAAAGATGATGATGCATACTCAATAGATCA